TGCACTGTTTCAAAACGTCATGAAATTTTGTTGAAATCTTCTTTAGCCATCTATCATTATGTGAAAGTACAACAATTGGATGATGTGTGCGAGATTCGGCGATAAAAAGCAAGCAAGACGACAAAATATGGCTGAAATCGTGTTTTCGTGGGGGGTGAGTGAATTAAAATGTATTATATTTACAGAAAAGAAGGACAGTCCTTATGAAAACTACAATAATTATATTATATTAAGCATAGTTTTTCATCCCATGTTTATTTTTTTTAGGAAATAAGACCATTAAATTTCTGCCAGGCATATTAGTTATTTTGTGCATAATCAGCAATTTACCTGGGGTGGTGCATAGTCATTTTCTGGTAAAACATTATACTTAGACAAATTTTTCCTTCCAATGACCACCCCTAAAAGCAACCCTTCTAAACACTATAAGCACTTCAGAAAGGCTGTCGCTTTTGCTTTTCGGAAGTTAGAGCTATGTCGGCACTGCCGTTTCAGGGCGGGGTCATTTTCAGGACTTTCGCCCCGGATTCAGGTTTTGGCACATATGCCATGTTGACCGCCATGGTCATTTTACCCTAAAACAGTTGAGATTACCTGTGGTAAATGAAACGCATACAAACTCCTATACAGGTCCTAGACTAATACATAATATTATTCGGAATCCAGCAGATTAAAAACGTCACTAACAATATAAATACAATTCTTATAGTCCTTTCTTTACTTTTCATAATTTTAACCCGTTGTCTTTCGTCGCCGAGAGCAGTTTTTAACGTTGAATCTAGCCGATTTAAACATTTCTTAATGCGATAAAAGTTTATAACAAAAATCACGGCTGGAAGTAGGTATTCGCTGATGAAAAGACACGAGTATATGAATATGTTTGGCAGCTGCTCAGGCCAGTAGTGGCAACTGGTTCCGACCGTTGCATTTGAAGCTGTGTAGTGAATTCCAACTAAAACTGGAAGCTCCCTTGCAAATCCAAAGAACCATGCTAAACCAATATATACATAATTCTTCGTCGTTATGCCCAAACGCGTTTCAAAAGGCTTCGAAATTGCTGCATACCTCTCGAAGCTAATAACAACCAGTATATAAATAGATACTCCTGCCAACCAATATTGAGGCAGATTTCCAGTGATTAGTTTACAAAATATATCGCCTCCTATTCCAGTAGGGTGAGGAAAAGCGTTCGTACTCATAATGTAAACAGGTAGGCATACTACAGACAAAGCCAAATCGACTATGGCTAATGCCATTAGGTAGACATTGAATGGAACGTCTCGAAATCGATGCTTCGGTGAACTGCCACTTTTTCTGATCACTAGAATTACTGTAGAGTTTCCAAGCACGCCTATTATAAGGATAAGACTGTAGCAGACTACCTCCCAAGATCTTAACTCGAAGTCTGCCATTTTGTCTTTCACATGTTGACTACCAGCTAGATAAGTTTGAGTATATTTAGTTCCGGGCTAGCCTGCGTAGCAGGCGTTTAGTGCGGGCGGAAGAAGAGAGGGCGTCGTTAAATAAACGCCTGCCCAAATACCTATGACTAGGGTACCTGCAAGGTAGGGATTGCTGCGGCCATTAAGAGAAAATAGAACTAAATAGTTCAAATTATATAAAGCACAGTTATTACTCGCAGCGTGCCAGCGACTGGCGAGCACTGTAGCCGAAGCTTAAGGATACGGAATCGATTCATGCCATGAGTACATAACTGAGAGAAAAGCAAGTGCAAATGTTGCCAAAACCAGAGGTTAAGGGCAATCACATGCAGGTGACAGATCGATATATTAAACATGTGCGTCTCATTGAATACTTATTACTTGCGTGTTAATGTTAATATGAAAGTAATATTCACTAAAGCATATAAACTATAAAGCAAGAATATATATTTTCAAGACCAAGTGGAATGTGTTCAATTTGTTTTTATTGATTAAAATCAATAAAAAACATCAAGCCATAGCCAACTTTACAATATACACGAGGCATCAGCGAGCAAAGACGCAAACTGAACAGGAGGCTCAAAATGCCTCAAATACGCCGAAAACAATTTTAAACGGGCCAAAGTAAAATATTTTTTTATCTTAAAACCTTAAACTGATTAAAAATAGTTTACAAATAGAAGCAAGCAAAACAATAAACGATATATTTCAAATACACCACATGCAAATACTGTCTGTCACACGTCGCACGAAATGCTAAACCCAGCCACCAAATGCGCTAATATTGCAGGATGTTGATAGTGAAACAAATTACACCAAAACATCAGGCAAAACAACAAACAATTGCCAATCTTGCGCTTATTGAAAAAAAGAATATCGTACCTTTTACTTGCTGTTTAGTTGTAACCGATCTGTGGTTGAAAATCAATACAAAATTAAATATCATAAATTTGAGATAAATTTGAGCTGATTGCGCATGTGTAGTGAGGTGAGACGGATTTATGAAAACTGCGCACACAAATGCGCACGACCACAATTCCATGTGACGCTAAAAATCTTCTTTTTTACTACCTACTGCACAAATTAGGCTGCTGCTTCGCTCCGCTCGCTTCAGGCTCGCTCGCTCCGCAGCAATTAATTTGTTCTTCTCCGAAGAATCTTCGGAAAAGCTTCCCATTGGTTAATCTCGTTAACGGAAGTAATTACGTTACTCAAATGTCAACAATAATTTTGCTCGCGTAATGAAAATATGCCGCCTGTTTAATATATGCTTTCGAGGGAACTCTTATATTTCAAGTATTTAGGCTTCGAAATTCAGTTGAAACCAGAATAGAGAAAGTCTATTATTAATTTGCTACGTGGTGAAGACGCCGGTTATCGCGATTCTTTCTACGGAATACGGAAAATCGGCAAATCAAAGCTTGCCCAAGCAGGGATCGAATATTCCTTATAGTTGTCTTGTTATTTGTTCACTTTAAAGTATAATTCAAGACCAGATAGTTGAGGCCACATCACTTGGCATTGCAGCTATGAGGTTGGATGATGATGTTAAGAATAACCTTTCAAAACATGCTCAACTGTTATTTGCAGTCAATTTGCTATACGGCAGAATACGTTAAACAACCGTGGTTCAGGAGCCTTTTAAAAGATAAAAGCTCTGTGTTTTGACTGTTGTCTAAAATAGCTTCAAAAACTCATTAATAACTCATCAGGAAAAACACAAAGAAAAGTCATAAACGTGTATCTTTATATGTGATAGAGATTTCCCATGATTTACATAAACTTTAACTTTGATTTTCTCTACATACACAACGAATTTTTTGAAAGCTATTTAGCCAATGAACTTATACTAGATCGATCGTTTTTGAAGCAATTTAAAACATTCGCAGTGCGTGTTTTATCAGACCATCTTTATACCTGATAAAACACTGCTGCTCATGTTTTAAATAGTACATATAAAAATCTCTGCAAAGTCTGCAAATCTCCCTAGTTGCCGAGCAAAAAGCATACGTGATGCTAAATATAAATCTCGACTATGATTGGATAATGGGTGAAGGTGCTAATTACAAAACGTCAATCATCCTTAATGGGCGAAAACAAATTTGTCATAGCCATTTGGGCAGGCGTTTCCTCTTTTCCCGCCCGTACTAAACGCCTGCTACGCAGACTAGTTCTGGGCTGGTTACCTTATGTTTCTGTCTTAGTTGCTGACTTGCTGACACTATCCAGAAACGTTAACGTGGTACTCCTTAATTTTACCGAACTTGTGATATTCTAACTCTCATTCACTTCACGGACTATAATGTTGTTTCTTATCAGTATTTTATTGCTTTACATGAGAATTTACATATTTTGAATTAATAGCTTTGAGCTCCTGCTGTGACCTTCTTGTGTACTGTGAAGAAAACCCCACATGACCAGCCGACAACACAGATTTAAAAAAGTAGAGTAAAAGCAAATTCCGAAAAGACAAGACATCTTGAGAGTACAATATCTGATTCAAAACAAGACGCAGGTTAAGACTGTAACGACTATCTTCAGACGGAATGAAATACAATACTTTACAACTATACTTTTAACACTTGTCATGTGGGCGAAAGGAAGTCCAAGCGAAGTGAAACATGATAAAGAAATGAGTAAAAACTGAAAATGGGTAAATTACTAATTTCTTTATCATGTTTCGCTTCGCTTGGGTAATCCTTCCTTCCGCCCACACGACAGAGCTCTCTCTCTCTCTCTCTGCATTGTTATATACAGTATATATGTGTTGTAAAGTATTGTACTTCATTCTGTCTGAAGATGACTTTGAAAAAAAAAATTAAAAATTTAATTTTTTAAAAATTAAATTTAAATATTAATTTAAATTAAAATAATTAATTAATTTAAATTTTAATAATTTTTTAAATTTGATTAATTTAAAACCCCGATTCGATTTTTTTCCGAAAATTTACAGTCTCAACCTGCGTCTTGTTTTGAATCAAATATTGTATTCTCAAGATGTCTTCTTGTGTAAGCACAATATTATTTTAAATGGCTTAGTAGAAAACACGGGAAAGTTTTTAAATTAAACGGATACCGGATAAACGGGTAGACGGATAAACTTTGACATTTTAGTAATATAATTCACTGCGCATAAATTATTGTATTATACATTAGAAAGCGCGCTAAAGTGGAGAATAATAGTTGAAATTTGAGCGACTAATAAAAATTTCACTTGGTAGGATATAGCATCTATGGATATAGCACCCAAAGAGCTAAAGTGCTAAGTAAGATTTGTTCTGTTTAATCACAGGAGCCCAAGCGTTGATCTGCGTCTGTGTTGTATGTTTTTCAGTTTATTTATTTTAGTGTCTTAATTTATATTGCCTTTTAATTGAATTATAACACTACATTACACTAATATGTCATATAATAATAATAATAATACTCCTATAGTCGAACATATAATAACAACATATAAGTTGATTTGTATCGGTATGTTTTTCAGTTTATTTATTTGAGATCTATTATTAGCTTATATAAAAGCACCGCCTTTCGAACCTGACAGCCCTTCGCAGGATACTCGCGTGGGAGACGAGTACGATTTGAAATAAGAGGCGGCACGATATAAATAAATGGCAAGGGATGAGACTCTTAAAGGCACAGTTCAGCCTGTTGAACGATGGTTTTTAAGGCGCATTTGAGCCCTTTTAATTGAAAAAACTAACTAGGAAAATCAATTAAGCATAATTCAAGATCACCGAACTTAATGTTTTTAACATTTTAAAACATTTATATGTTAAAAACATCGATTTTACTGATTTTGACTAATGCCTAATTGATTTTCCTAGTTAGTTTTTTCAATTAAAAGGGCTCAAATGCGCCTTAAAAACCATCGTTCAAAAGGCTGAACTGTGCCTTTAACGTTGATCGCATTATGTATGCCCCGACTTGAGTGGACTGATAATTATGCAATGAGTGACGTGTCAAATGAACGCCGTCTACCTTTTGGAATCAATGATATGAACAAGGAAACAAATTAACTCGACTACAACTCGAGGAGAGAAGTCAATTTGTGTCGACCGTAACGGTTTCAATGTTTAAAATTTAAAATTAATTACATTAGCCGGGTCCAGTCAAGTCGGGGCATTTATGCTACGAAACGTCGCTTTTAAAAACTATAGCAATTTATAAGACTCTAGGGCTTTTATTTCACAAAATTTTTCAATGGTTATGTACTTTAGCCTTAGACATATTATGTAGCCGAAGTTCAAGTTAAAATTCGAATTCGTTTTAACAAGCAAATACTACGGCTGCAAAATAAACATTGCCGTGTTGTAATTTCATTCCTTGTCTCTTTTCCTATTTTGACTATTTTCAGTGGGAAAAACGGGCTGGCAGGTTTGAAAGGCGGTACTTAATTTTATATAAGCCAATCATAGATCTTACAGTAACTAAACTGAAAAACATACAAATACAAATCAACTTATATGTTGTTATTATATGTTCGACTATAGGAGTATTACTGTATTATTATATGACATATTAGTGTAATGTAGTGTTATATTCCGTTTTATACGTCGACTTTTGGTCGCGTCGAATGCAATTAATTAAGACAATAGATAATGAGATGATAAACCTCATTAAGCTTCATTATCTGTTGTTTGAATTGCATTCGACGCGACCGAAATTCGACGTATATAAAACAGACCTAAAATAAATAAACTGAAAAACATACAACACAGACACAGATCAACACTTGGGCTCGCTGTGGTACAATTTGATTATTTGAAAAAACTGAGATTGAATATTTAGTTGAAATGAAAAGTTGTCATCCGACTGAAATACTACCATGCCACGCCCTCACCCCCACTCCCCCGAAAAAAACTTTTGAAAACCATGGAAATTTGGGCAAATGCTAGGAAAAATCCAGAATATATTCCGGCAGATTTGTCAGATGTAGTCAAAGGGGCCGAAACCACCGGATGGCCGAAGCTACTTGATGTAAAGCGCATTTGATCATATCCACGTGTAAATTTGCGCTATAGAAACGTTAATCGTTGTCATATCTCAAGATAAGACTTTTATGTTTGTCAAATTTTGCTATCTGAAACAGTTGCGGTAAAAAAGCGTTTTGAAAAAGAGGAGCAATTATTTAAAAAAGGGGGGATAGGACTGTTGAGTTCAATATAAAACTGTATGCTATCCAAATATTAGTATGACGTAATACTGAGAGACAAATGCATGATGGGATTGTTGTGTTGTTAGTTGACCTTCCTCGTGAAAGTACCTTACCGTACAAAACTACATTTGTAATAAACGTGAAAATAAAGAGTGATTTCATTACAAATACGGTGTTCTAAAGTCATGGCTTCAACAGGTTATGGGCCCAGCAGAGAATCACTCTGGTCAAGGTTGACTTTCGATAGAAACGAAAGCAATTACGAACTGTGAGAAGCGAAATTCCTCGCGCACATGAGGTTATTAAAACTAAAGGATACTATCCTGCCGTCAGAAGAAGAGGCTGACGCAACAAAGAACGAAGAATACTACGCCGAGCTTATACAGTGTTTGGATGACACCAGTCTGTCATTGATAATGAGGGATGCTACCGACGATGGTCGAAAGGCTTTACAAATACACCGAGATCATTATGCAAATCAAGGAAAACCAAGAATCATCACACTCTACACTAGCTCAGCTAACGTCACTTGAAAAAGCACTTCACGAGACAGTCACGGATTACTTAATAAGAGCCGGGAAAACAATAACAGCGCTTAAGAACGCCAAAGAAACGTTAAGCAATGGGCTACTAATTGCCATGATCTGAAAGGGGCTGCCTGATTCATATAAACCATTCTCGATACATGTGACCCAAAGTGCAAGTGAGATAAAGTTCGCGAAGTTTCAGGAGCTTCGAAGAAACGGAAAAGCTCAACACCAAACCGAAAGTTGATCAGGTAATGAAAGCTGAGTTTCCTTTGCAAACAATGACATGTTATGGCTGCGGGAAAAGAGGGCATTTAGTCAGAAAGTGCCCTGCTAAGAGCGAGAAGAAGTGGTGTAACTATCACAAAAGTACAACACACTCGGATAGCACCTGCAGAAGTCACCAAGAGAGCAAAGACCAAGCCAAACAGGTGTCGGAGAAAGAAAACGCCTCTAAAGATGAACATTTATTTGCATTGTTAACGACGAAGCAACGGGGAAAATCAATCGAATGGGAATGTAGGTTGACACAGGTGCCACTTCTCACATTGCTACTACTGATATTTTAAAGCAAATAGACATGCCTTTTAAACCATCAAAACATTACATTGAACTGGCTGATGGCACACGAGCCAGTAATATTGCATTGAAACGAGGGGATGCTGAAGTGTTTCTGAAAGATACAAATGGAAAATGTGTGAAAACGGTGCTGAAAAACGCCTTATATATACCATCCTATCCTCAAGATATTTTCTCAGTGAAGGCAGCCACATCAAATGGAGCCGAGCTTCGATTTGCCCAAGATACTGGTGAGCTAACTCTTGAAGATGGTACCATTGTTGAAATTGAAGAATATGGACGGTTGTTCTGTTTGACTTCCATAGGCAGTCATGAGAACGATAGCGTGAGGTAGATAAAGTAAATCTCTCATATGATATTAACACATGGCATGAAATCCTAGGTCACTGCAATTTTGAAGATATTATAAAACTACATGGGGTAGTTAAGGGCATGAAATTCTCAGGTAAAATTGAATCATCTAAGTTAGGTTGTAATACATGTGTAGAAGGAAAATTTGTAAACAGCAGGAGTAGGATTCCTGATGCAAGATCTCAAAAATCATTGGAGAAAGGGCATGTGGATTTGGCAGGTCCAGTTTCTCCTGTATCAAGAGAGGGGTTTAAGTACTGCATTGCTTTTACTGACTATTTCTCAGGAGCAGTATTTGTTTAGTTTCTGAAATGTAAAAGTGATACCTTTGTAGCAACAGAGAAATTTCTAGCAGACATCACTCCATATGGCAAGGTAAGTTGCATCCGTTCTGACAATGGCTCAGAATTTACAGATAAGGCGTTTCAAACACTACTAAGAGAGCGTGGCATAAAACATGAAAGTTCTGCTCCCTACTCGCTACACCAGAATGGCACCGCTGAAAGGCACTGGCGCACATTGTTCGAAATGGGCTGATGTCTTCTTCTTCAATCAGGGTTACCCCAAACTCTCTGGCCCTATGCAATTCAAACCGCAGCTCACATTAGTAATAGATGTTTTAATAAGAGAACAAAGACAACACCCTACTTTAGCCTTACTGGGAAAGTACCTGATCTTTCTAAAATGTGGATATTTGGATCTGAATGTTTTGCTTACGAACAGGAGCATAAGAAATTAGACTCAAGATGCAGCAAGGGGGTATTTGTGGGATACGACAAAAATAGCCCTTCATACCTAGTGTACTACCCACAAAATGGGAAAATCATGAAACATCGACTCATTAGATTGATCAAGAAAGGTAGTGTAGAACAGCACACACAAACTGATGAGTCCAGCAGAGATTGTGATATACATGAGAAATCTGACCATGGTACTAGATCAGACTTAGATAGTATGAGCCTCCCTGTCTCAAGTGCAATGCCGCCAAATACAGTGCCTGATGAAGGAGCCTTGGGATAGTGAGGGAAGGCATTGCGATCATACTGAGAATGACAGTGAGACAAAACGGTATCTTCAAAGAGAAAGGAACCTTCCCAGATACTTAGAAGAGGACACCCTCCTAGCTAAGAATGCCGATTGAGCCCACATTAGTGTAGATTACTGCTACAAAGTTTGTGGATTACCACAAAATTACACAGAAGCCATGGGATCACCTCAAGCTAGGGAGTGGGAGCAAGCAATGAAGGAAGAGATCAGTTCTCTGAAGGAGAATGATACTTACGAATTATCAACTTTACCAGAAGGTAAAGCTTCAGTAGGGGGGGAATGGGTGTACACAACCAAACAAGATCAGAATGGCATAGAGACCTTTAAGGCCAGATAGGTAGCGAAGGGTTACAGCCAGGTAAAGGGTATAAATTATCAAGAAACTTTCGCGCCCCGACAGCCAGTATTACTTCAATTAGGGTCTTAATGCAGTTAGAAGTAAAACATGATCTTATTGTCCACCAGATGGGCGTTAAAACTGCATATTTGCATGCCCCCATTACCAAAGAGTTATACATAGACCAGCCACAAGGGTTTGAAGAGGTTTCAGAGAGTGGTGAGAGGTTAGTATATAGGCTAAAGAAATCGCTATATGGTCTAAAACAATCAGGTAGAAATTGGAACATATTGTTACACGAGCATTTAGCAAATGACGGTTTTGTCAGAAACCATGCTGATCACTGTGCACGTGTATATAAGAAACAAGTTGATGATAAAATTGTTATCGTCATTGTTTGGGTTGATGACCTATTTATAGCTTCAGATAGTATGTAGTTAATGGAAGAATTTAAAGAAAGTATGAAGACACAATTTAATGAAAGATCTAGGTAGAATCACTTTCTTCCTTGGAATGGATTTTAAGCAAAACAAGGGTGAAATAAAAATGAATCAGAAAAGATTCATTCTTAAAATACTAGAGAGATTTGGAATGATAGACTGCAAGCCCAGGTTAACCCCATGTGAGCAACGATTAGAATTTAACTGTAGTGAATTGACCAACGCCAGACAGTATAGAGAAATGATAGGAAGCCTAATTTATGCCATGACCTGTACAAGGCCTGATTTAAGTTGGATTGTAAGCAGACTGTCTCAAACTCTGTCAAACCCCAGAACGGGAGATTTAATTGCTGCCAAACATGTCCTAAGGTATCTAAAGGGTACCGTTTATTATGAACTCTGCTTTAAGAAATCTGATGCTGACTTGCAGCTCACTGCTTATAGTGATTCAGATTGGGCCTCTTGCCTGGAAGACAGGCGAAGTACTACAGGTTACTATTGTACTCTAACTGAAGGAGGACCACTGATTTCATGGAAGTCGAGAAAGCAACCAATGGTTGCCATTTCCACTTGCGAAGCTGAATATGTAGCTTTAGCAAATACAGCTCAAGAGTGTTTGTATCTAACTCAATTGTTAAACGGTATGTATAAGGAAGTACATCAGAGTATGATGGTAAGTGTTGATAACCAAGGGGCAATTGCACTAAGTAAGAACCCAGTTAACAGACAACGTTCTAAGCATATTGACATAAAGTAACACTTTGTACGTGAAATGTATGTTAAAGGCATGATAGATATTGTATATTGTCCTACCCAAGATATGGCAGCTGATATAGTAACAAAGCCACCCACAAAATGTAAACTAGATAATTTTAAAAGTATTGTGTTCGGTTGTTGTAATTAGTTTATATTCTGATAACAAGTGAGGGTGTTGAGTTCAATATAAAACTGTATGTTATCCAAATATTAGTATGACGTAATACTGAGAGACAAATGCATGATGGGATTGTTGTGTTGTTAGTTGACCGTCCTCGTGAAGGTAACTTAGTACAAAACTACATTTGTAATAAACGTGAAAATAAAGAGTGATTTCATTACAAATACGGTGTTCTAAAGTCATGGCTTCAACAAGGACCCCTTTCCAAAATATGCTTGAAAAAAGTTAATGGTGCCCTTAAAGGCAGTTTTCCACTACTAAGGCAGAATTTTTCGCGCGGAGCGGAATTTCTCTTTGTCTTGTGATTTCTCGGGTCAGCGAAACTAATTACAAAAAGGAGAAACTCGGCTCGAAAACATTCCGCCTAGTGGAAAACGGCCTTAAAGCCAGTTTACCACGAGGCGGAATTTTGCGCGCGGAGCGGAATTTTTTTGGTCTTTAATTAATTATAATTAGTTCCACACAATAAATCACAAGGTTCAAATTCCGCTCCGCACGCAAAATTCCGCACAGTGGAAAACCGCCTAAGTTATAATTGTGCATAATACGGGATTAATAGGGCGTATATTCCAGGCAATCTGACGGAAATTTCCATTAGTTACTAATCTTTCAACTTTCCAGGGTCAAGCAATCCAGTGGCGCTTGCGATCAGTGTAATTGTTCCAAATTTCTATGACGTCACTAATTAGGACGCAATTAGGCGAATAAAATGAACATGCAACCAAAACTACGGAGTCTACAGGATTTGGCATATCTTGAATAGACAAGTGGATATATTTTATCCCCAAAAATGCAGCGTTATTTGGCATTCGTTGGTATAGTTTTGCTGGTATTAGCATTACCACAGGTGTACTGCAGTTATGAAAGTTTGTCATACATTATTCGACCACTGAATGCGACGGACACCTGCCTCAATGTTACGACCCATCCGTCTTTATTTGAGGACTGTCCTCTACCACCGTTCCCTATTGTTGATGAGGATTATTCGGAGGCACAGAAACAGGTATAAGCCTTGGTTCATCCATATATCAAACATATTCATACAAAAATTTGAGGAACGAATATAATAGACATTTTGTGAGTATATTTGAAAAATGTGCCAAATATCACTCGCCTCGTTATTTATTTTATACCTGTCAAAATTATAGCTATCTCTCTACCCCCCCTCCGTGTTAATGTCACGTAAATGCAGAGAAAGATGTATACTTAATTTTGACACATTTGGCAGTTGCGGAAAGCTTGAAACATTAATGTTCAAGCGAGTACAGCAATACGCGCCTTTTAGAGTAATTTCTGGCAATAATTTTCGTGGTCGTAAAATTATGAATAATCTTTCTTTCTCCGTCTCTTTTTTATTTCAACATGGATGAAAGCTAGGGCTCAGAAAATAAAACTTTCACGTTGTTTATTTAAATTTAGTGTGTAAAATTTCTGCACTAAATGCGCTCGGTCTCTGAATCTTTAACCAATCAGAATCGAGTAAATGGACTAAAATGATATTAGGATGAAAATTGCATGTATCAGTGACAAGAGTAACATCAATAACATTATATTCACGTGAGTATACAGGGTGTATCAAAAAAAGGGAAATCCTCGATTGAAATGTAAATTGCTAAACAAATAATAGACGAAAACGTTTAAGTTTACATTCATGTTAAAGCGTAGCCACTCAGCTTTCTAACAGTGGGTAGTTTCGTAAATTTGACTCATTGGTTCGCGGGTAATAATACTTTACGTTATTGCGATTGGAGATTAAAAAAATTGAGATGCAATAACAAATCGTTCTCATGAAAATAACTGATTTTTTCATTAAAACAAAAAAATGTTGCATTTTATTAAATGGATTGTAACAATAAGTATAATTACGGCTTTTTTTCCACTATTTTTAACTCAGTTTGAAACTTCAAATGCGATATAATTTTGGCTTGGACCATCTAACCTGACTGACATCAACTTGCTATAATTTCTGTTTACATTACATCGCAATTCGATGACACTCTGGCTCAGACACCAGAATGTTTTGACGATTTTTAGCATTCGTTTAGAATTTTCAAACAACCTGGTCTCTTTTAAAATACTTTTAATTTGTTCTTACGTGGTTTTCCAGATGTAGTGACGACAACATTAAAGTTTAAAGAAGAAAATTCTAACATTTAAACCGACTAAACAATAACATAGTAAACTTCCATAATTAAACAGCAACTAAAAATGGTAGGTTTTACTAAATCTTTTCCTGTGCAATTATTACTAGCATTGGAGACAAGGATAATAGTTTGTTTGAAAGAGAAAAGAACAGGCTTTGAAGTAAGCCTAAAAGCGTTTAACTAGAAACAGTATTTCGAAAGTTATTAAGCACAAAAGATGAATTGCGTTTATTTTGATACACCCTGTATAACATCCGAAAACACACACAAAAAATAACATGATCATAGAACACATTGGTGTCGAGGGTTCCGAAATACGCTCGAACTGACTTGGCCTTGATGTACACTCAGAGTAACATAAAAAACATTAGCAGAACTCGTCTAGCAGAAGGCAAAATTTATGCATGCATGCATGATACATAACTTTATTATTAGCATGACAAAATTACTGGATGCTGATTGCTTGAGAGGAGTACAATTGTTTTATTAATTGTACTGCAGTACAATTAATGATTTTCCCACAACAAACAAAATGGTGGAAAGGTATTTTAAAAAAAAGCGTGAAATGAAATCGCCCTAGAGGAACTAGATGAAAATACATGAAAACTCTCGCTTGGCAACTTTTATCAACTCTTGTCGCTCGAAAAGGCCTTCATTCGACACGTCGAAGTTCTATTTAATTTTTCCGATAGTTTCATCCTGTAATTCGGAGTGGAAAACTGCCTATAAACTAGCCTGCATGGCAGGCGGTCTAAAATACCGCCTGCTGGGTTTGGCAGTGTAATTTGATAACCGCCCACTTTTTTGTCCGAGTCCAATTAGCCAATCAGCAAACACTAAATATATTTATAATCAAACTGTCAAACTATGTTGTTGTTTGGTCGCAAAATTGCAAATGTATAAAATATGTCGACAAGAGGTAGAAAAGCAAGCGCGTAAATGACTTGTCGTTTGTTTAAGTGTGCTTTGAAATTAAAATACGGGGCAATACGCCAATAGAGAAAATATCTTATATTCTTATATATCGTTGGAGAAATTATTTATTTAAGGCAAGCAAAAGAAACGTTACGACAGTGGTAATACCTTGGCCGAAATAAGCCGAATTGCCGGTTCAGTTCATTTAGGAATCGAAGTTAATTCTACCTCGGAACTATCCGACCAAGTTTGTAAACCGTGTGAGCGAAATATCCGAAATGCAAGCGAACTGATTGCCATAATCAAACGAGACATAAACGCGTTGCTTGTGTACGTTCGAACAAATAGACAGTTGTATATTAAAAACCTCAGTTGCCAATATGAACTGTCTTGTCTCCCTAACGAAGCCGTGTGGTAACGAAAGCCTTAAAAAGTTCAGAAAGTGAAGCGGCTATTAATAGGCATAGGCGTAATACTCCTGTTATAAAACCCGTTGCAAGAAAGACTATACGGCCGTCTGTATCTATTCTCGTTATATTTTCTCGCGCCAACAAGAACGATGTAAAAATCAAGCTTTACCCATAGAATGGCCAAAACATTCTTTCCAAGGAGTAAATCGTTAACTGCTATCTCTTGCTCGCGTTTGACGATCAGTTCGCGTTTCGACTTTCGAGAAGCGTTCAGTTTTACCATAGTTATTTTACAACACCTATTAATTAAAGCGAACGCATGCATCATTAAAGTGCCAAACGTATGTTTACATATTAAAGTGCATTCACTTTTGAGTGACAGCGGCTCAGACTCGCAGCCAATCATCAATTCCCGTCCACTGGTGGACGGGGAATTCGATTACACTGCCAAACCCAGCAGGCGGTATTTCCCAGGCTTGCCCAATTTTAGGAACCGCCTGCCATGCAGGCTACCTATAAACTGGCTGGAGTGGAAAACTGGCTATAAACTAGAGTTATAAAACTCGAACGGTCTGTGCCAGCGTATATAGGAGTGACAATAACACTAGAAAGCTGCGATCCACAGCTTTCTGGTGTAAACTAGGGTGTATACTCGGAAACTGCGTATCTCCTGTCAAACACGAGCGAGAGTTGCAACTCTCATCCTCGTTTGACCGAGGGTCGAGGCTTTATGTTTTCATGAGTTCTTTCAATGCATGTAATAATTGCGCTCATTGAAATTTCCCAAAGAATATCCTAGCTTTTTCCGAACTATCTTTTGAGAGCGTCAAGTTTCAGATAGTATACTTCTGGAATCCCTTATGATAGATGGTAACTCCTAGTCTAACGTTTGTTCGTTTTGTATTCTTAAACTGGTGTCCATTCTGCAATAATATTAATGTCTTTTAGACGCAAGTTATGCAAAACTAAATCTCACTTTATCAGCACTATAGGCCTTAAATTAGCTAACGCGTGTCTATGCCCGTTTCCATCCAATTTACTAACATATATAATTTAAATGTTTCCTCCGTTCCATGCTTATATAATCGCCAGGGGTAACTAGGTAACTATGTGAAATGGTAGTGAAGAAAGGCCTCTTTTAACATATAGCCTGGGGACATTTCTCCCCACCCCCCTCCCCCCGAAGCCCCTGTCCACCCAGTGCAAGGTCCTTAAGAACTACTAGCAGTATAGGTGGTCAACCAGCAATTATATATCAAAGTGAAAAAATGATGTTAAGTTGTTAACATTCCTGAATTTGATCATGACCATCATCTACAGGCCCGTAACTAGCTATGAGCTAGTCAACCGAGTCAGTTAACTCGATAGGTGACTGAAATTTAATTAAACAACTCCAAAAACATAAACCATGGTTGAAATAATGTGCTCGTGGAAAAGGCATGAGATGGCATTTTAGGACGAAATTCTAATTTAGTTTTTCCAAGTGAAGATGCTCCAATGAGACCACCCTGTCTTGCTCATCATGCAGTGACACTGAGAAGAAGAATGCGTCGATGTCATGCATTCCAATACATGCAATACAGTACTGTAGAATTTGAAGTGTGGTACCGTATCATCACATCGTGTTGCCTTATTAGGACTGGATTACATTTGGGAGACTGTAAAATTGCAGTAATTGTGTCACTGTTTGTATCTAGGTTAATTTGCTGTTGGAACACTCCTTAAAATGCTGGAATTTAAATAGCTTATCTGAGCTTCAAGGATTCCAATATTTTCTGGGGGGATGCACACCACCCTCCAGATGGCTCGCATCTTCGGTGCACGACTCAGAATCCTAGTTAATCATGCATAAATGCTGGTAGCTTCAGTAATACAGATTTGTCCCCCGCGAAATAAGCACCTCACACAGTATCGGTTTATCGCCCATATAAACTGCTCCGTGATGGATCACTAATGCAATCTAATGCGATGTGTACATTTTTTTCTCGTAACAGATCCCAAACCTAGCAAAAGCCAAGCTCGCATTGACACCAGTTTGCTATGACAAGGTATTAAAAACAATGTGCATTATGTCTGTTCAAATATGCACGGCTGACAGATATTCTGTGGGAATGTTCGGTTATGATGTTTGCATGGAATACGTGACTTGTGGCGTGGCTGCTATTGGCGAAACCTTGGCAAAAGTAATGTGTGAATTTCTGAGCAAGCTCTATACCACTACAATCTATGATGGAACCGACCCACCAACTTATTATGTAGCTGGAAAACCAAGAGATGAAACTGCAAGCGCAACTTCTGCATTATACACATCTTTGGTGCCTCGAATTATTATGATTGCATTGGTTTTACAGCATTTTGCGAAGCATATATGAGTGATGAACAAATGAGACTAATTCAGACAGTTACATTTAACAGAATGGCACATATGTGAAAACAATAAGTTGTATATGCTTAATACAATTTACAGTAAATCTGGAATTAATAATTAAAAATATCATTTTGGCAGTGATGAAATTGACTATTTTTAAGTTACATCCATATGATAGATTCCTGTTTCAGAAAAATTGTCACTGCGTGCTCAATTGTTTAGTTACGTTCCTCAAATTTGGTACATGCAATGATAACTAATTGTAGAAGCTACTGTTTTAACCAAAATTCACCACCTTTTAATCCCTATAGTGAGGGTCGTACAGGGGTATTTTCGTGATGCGCGATTGAATCACTTCATTTATCGAGAAACATGATTTCAAAAAACTATGATTCGTGATCCGTGACACTTATGTCTTGCCTGACCCGTGAAAAACTTATATTAAAAACCGATATTCGTGATTTCACCACTGCTTTTACGTCATTTTACACTTTTAAGGTCTTTCAAGTCCTATTTTGTATAGTCTGTATAGCCTGGTTGCTTCGTAGACTTTGTTAAGCTGATTCTCCACCGCTCCACGTACCACGATCTTCGGTGCATGTCTTCGGTTTATCTTCGTAGATTCTCGTAAATCCTCGTGTTGGCATCGTTTTAAGTCAAATTTTTAAGTCATCTTGGACTCCTGTATAAAGCTTGGTCCGTTCATATGAAACATCAAACCATCGCAAAACTTACCCTGTCCCCTGAGCAATCAAGGCTTCTGGAAGAACTTAAAAATTACTCGAGAACGACAACAGAGAAAGCGTTGTCACATATCAATGATGGCAGCGGTAGAAAAAGTCAACCAAGCGGCGCTCATTGAACTATTTCTACCCAGACAAAGGTTTGGGTCACCGTGATCTTAAATGGGATGAAACATTTAGAGGAGTTAGCCAACGAACAAAGTGGTGGAAATTCACTTTTTCCCGGGGGGGGAGGCAAAGCCTTCTAAATTTCCAACAAAACCTTCAAATTTCCGACAATCCCCAAGGCTGTTTTTAGCCATCTTTGAGATCAAAATCTCCTAAAATTCGTCAATTTTTCGTAAAGATGGATGGGCGGTCGCCACCCCACCCTACCGAGCTACAATCTTGTATGTACAGTTCCGGTTGAAAACCTACATGCGATAGGTCACTTCAAGGACCATTTTGCTACCGCTTTGCGGTACGCACAGAATCTGGCGAACACCGTATACGAAAGCATTAAGCGTGTGGTTGTCTGGAGTGCCTACTACTACACCCACAGTGAATCAAATTATCCTGTGCTGCGCCAGAGCACTCCTTTAAATGCCATTCCCAAACTAGACCATCTCAAGGCTCAGAGGCAATTGAATCGGCGAGAAAAAGAGCTTATGGTTGAGTGGGCGACAACAAACGAAAAAGTTGTACGGCAGAGAAGTGTGAAGCCTTTATGTTTAAGGCCCCATGGGACATTGCCATTGGACATGCACAGGTCGTCAGACCATCCAAAAGATAAAGTGTCGTTTGACACTGATGCGGTCGAAAAGGAGCCGGTTATGCCTGTTAAGTCTGCTTCAACCATAACGTCACACGAAAAAGACGATGAAGTTGAGATAAGAGTTGAAGAAGACGAGGAAGTCGAGGAAGACTACGACGCAGACGATTCAGATTTCGATCATGCTACGGTTGACAGTGGCGAAAGTAATTCACTGGGCAGTTTAACGTTTCCTCGGATCATCATTACTATACACGTAGTGGACGAACGGTACGCAGGCGCGTAGCCAAGGGGGGGGGGGGATGGGGGGTCCGGACCCCAACTTTTTGTAAAGATTAATATTGTAATTCTTGCGGCCAAAAATGAGAACTAGGTGGGGGGTGCAAGTTGTGAATATTTTTAAAGAAATCAACTGTCGTTATTAAATTGAAATAATTCCGTATTTGCGTTCACATGCTATCCAGTATGTTATATGTACAGTTTAGTTTGATGCAACGCTTCAGAATATCTTCAAAGAGACGAAATGGACTTAGTAACTGCTGTTGATGCGGTAGCTTCGCTAATCGCTAAATTTTCTTCTTTCCGGAATGAGGAAGTCGAATTTCACGTTGAAGATTCGTTTAGAGATCTGAGCAACAAACGCCGTAGAACGCTTCCAAGTCTAGCTGATGGACAAGCATTGCTTGATGCATCAATAAATCACCGCGTTTTCTTCTCAACTCGAAACAGCACAACAGTGTCAGCAGAAAGTAAATTTCGCACTGGTTTTACTATTGTCTGTTTGATCTGCTGCTGAGGGAGCTGAAGAGGAGATTTTCAGTAGAATCTTGCGAAGTATTGGTACAATTCTTAATCCAGAGCGTTAGAGTGATGATAATTAATATAGAAAAGGTGTGGGATTTGTCAAGAAGATAAAAAATCCCAGAGGAAGCAACCTGTTGGGAATATTCCTTGTTTCGGGAGTCTGGATGCATTCGCAGTTTGGTGCAGGAGATGGAAGAATGCAAGAAACAGAGGTGGAAAAAACCCTTACCTTCTATTAATATTAAGAAGTTTGGTGAAAGTGATTACGCTGTCCCGTACCAAAACCTTCGCAGAATCATTTGTATTGCGTCCACAATTCCAATTACAATAGCTTCATGCGAAAGACGCCACAGAAAAGTTATCAACAATTACATGAGAGCAACCATGGGTGAAGATTAACTTGAAAGCTTGGTTCTTGTTAGTAGCGAAAGGGAGGTAGCTGAAAATATTAAGTTGCATTCTCTTGTCGATAGATTTGCTTTGAAGCCTAGAAAATGTACACTATATAATATATTTGTGCGATGTGAAAGTTATATGAAAACGGAATTCAAATTAGATTCCCGCGTTCGTGTAAATGTTGCATAATATGTGTATTGTTTCAAAAGGAAAGTGATTTTAAAATGCAGTAAAACATTTCTCAACTTCATAACAAGTTCATAGAACTTTCTTATCTATTAATTTGACATGTTATGTTATTAGTTTAATAAGGTTATTCCACATATGTTTTGTTAATCTCGTAAATACTTCATCTATGGTATAAAATAAACCAAATCTGTGGCATATAGATCACCAAAAGGCCATGCCAAATATGCACATGGGAGCGTTAAGTTTCGCTAACCTAAAAATTGAAAAATTTTCCGGTCCCTGGCTTTTAGAACGGTACTTGAATTCATGTATTTAGCAATTTAGACCCCCCATTCGTATGGGGCTGGCTACGCGACTGACGGAACGAGTTTGTCTATCGAATGACGAAAGTGACAAATGTTGATATAGGTATGACATTTCCAATACACATGTAGTTATGTCAACTTTGCTTTCTTAAAACACTTTCTTTCCGTAAAAGGCAGGATTAAAGAGCAGCTTGCCTATTTTCGTGATTCGGGAAAATGAAATTATAACAACCGTGATTCGTGATCCATGACTTTTTCAGCCCGTGAACTGTGCTAGAGACCACCCCCCCCAATACGACCCTCTATAGTCGCAATGAGACATCTTTTGAAAAATAACACCTCTTGCGCCACGAGATTTAACGACAGACTGTTTAACTCAGAAGCTCGCAAAATATCATATTTCTCATCTCAAATATCCAAAGAAGAAAAGTGTGTTCGAATAAAGCAGACAACTTGACTTATTTTGCGCAAGTATAAGCGATTGAAGAGATGCTTCTAAATTGAAAAATAATGCACTAAATCAAAAACGCGAACACTCTTTTGTTCCTTCATTATTGATTAACATTGTGGTCAAGTTGGCTCGCTCTGTAGTTAAACTCTTCTTTGTGGACGAGATTGGGTTATTTTGCTTTCTCCTCAAACGACGATTTAAGATTTGGCGAGGTTTTCAATCTTTCTGTCATTTTCTCCGCCCCCAACGTTAATCCACTTGTGACCTCTTGTGGTTAACCAATCGCAAACAACCAAACTTTAATATGTTTGGGCAAGGTGTTTATCACTCATTAAAATACTGGGTTATACAGGGTTAGGGTAAAACGCTGATACGGACGGACGAACGGACGGATAACCTATTTTTCTCTACTAGGGAGATGCAAAGCATCATGGGGCGAGCCTGAGCCAGAGCATTGAGAGCAATGATAACCAGCAACTATCATGCAACAATGATTACTAATGTAAACCTTTCTTGTTTCCGCACTTTATTTAATTAATTAATTGCTGCCGAAGGCAGCACACTATTCTTAACATGAAGTATCGCGTTTACTTGTGTCCAGTCTCTTTGCTCGAGCTATGTATTGTCGAGATCTCGATTTTGTGGCTGTCTGTCTGTAATATAAAGATGTCGTAATTCCGGGGAAATAATTTTAAAAGGCTTCAGGAAGTTTTTTAAACGAGGGGGGCGGTGAAACTTTATTTTATATTGCACACGGATCAAGTTCTTCTCAAGGACAGTTTATACGAGCTTATTTACATTTTCATGATGCAAAACATGGACAATATTTTCAATAATTCAGGTAAGGATAGCTTTATTTCTTTTTGGTAATATACATGAAGGCATTTACAGTATATTTAGAACACTGTGATATTTCATGAATTTAGATTCAGCATGAATTTCAGAATTTACCCTGCGGCTGCACTGTCACTGTTCGTCTTTATAGTCAAATATACAAGTAGTCAAAATCTGTTTTTAGTTTATTTGTTTGTGTGGTGATTTCCAAAGGCGATGAGTTTATAGTGTTTATTCTACATGTTTATAGCAATGTGCTTTCAGTACGTTTTAAAAACAAACGTGGAATGTTGTGTAGCAGGGCTTCTAATCAGGCTTAATATTTAATAATAAATATATCCCTACAGCAATCCAGTGTGGATTGTTGTCTGCAAGGGCGGATTTTCATTTTATAAAAGGAGGGGTGGCCAAACATTTTCTAGTGGGATGCAAGCAGCACCACCAAGCTTCGGCAGGAGTTAGGATTAAAGACTTCCACCCAAAGTAGGAGGGCTGACGTGAAATTTTGGTGGGGTTGAACACTTTATAACACCTCGGGGTGTTATACTAGGTACTAACCCCCCAGGCCCAGTAAATCTGCCCATGGTTGTCTGCACATATTGACGGTTTGTAAAAATATATCTCTGAGATATGTCCATTGTCAGCATAATAAGGAATAATCCTACTGGCCTACATAATACATTCATATGTTCAACCTGGCTGTGTTACTACATTTCAGGTTATACTATATTTTTTCGATGATGTTCACAGTTTCTTTCTTATTAATATACAGTTTTGAAGTTATGACTGAGTACAATCTTAATCATTGGCATTACAAATGAATGGTGCCATCTGAAGCTGATGTATTAAATTAAAAAAAATGACAGTTGTTCTGTGATAGGGTAGTTTTGTATTGTAGTATTTCTATACACGAAATTGTTATTAAATTGTACATGTCCAATGATTCATTCAATGATTATTATTGTTGTTGCACATTTATTATATAAAGTATAGTGCTTTATAGAGATTTCGAGTACTGATAAAACTGATAATCTCACATGTGAGATTATTTATGATAATGGGTCATTCCAGAAAACATCCATACCACCCCCACAGAGGAAATAGGAAGTTAACCCCCCTAGCTACCCCCTTCGGATGTCCTAATACATTTACTATTATCAGAAACAATTTTTTATCCCCTCCCCCTCCGGACGGCAGAAATTTCCTCTGTGGGGGGAGTATGGATCTTTTCTGGAACGACCCAATCTCACATGTGAAAATTATCGCTTTTCAATAATCGCTTTTCTGCAAAAAATATCGCTTTTCAAAGGCTGTCCTTTATATAATAAACAGAAAAATAAACATGAATACTTGGAAATACCAGATTTATTTCTCGAAATAAATCTGGTATTTCCGCACACCCATGTATTATTCTCTACATAAATATATAATATTGTACAGTATTCAGTGACAAGCTAGTCATGGCAACAAATCATGCTATGCCCTCTGTGCTATGCCTATGCTGATAATCCTGCATCTATTTGAATGATACGAATCATTAAAAACTTGCATAGCATGACTTGTTGTTATGGCTAGCTTCACCAGTGACAGCATTATAATTGTACATAACAAAAGCAAGAAATTATAAGCATTGAAGGTATTCATATAAAACCACAGGTGGCCCAGGCTCTGTGTGGGTATTTATTTATTTTTTAATTTTATTATATTTTGCATTACAAATTTACTTTAAATTATAAAGTATAACTTACTTAATTTCCTGTATGTATTCTTTATGTATTTGGGGGTGGTTTTAGTTTGATATAATGATATAAAAACATAATGAGAGTAATGGCAAAGCGGGATCATATAAACAGCCCCTTATTCAGCAAATTGTGCATGCTGCATTTGATCCCTTGGGGTGAGGCAGCACTTTCCTTGCGATAGTAACTTCTAGTGTTTAATTAATTAAACTATCATTGGCATTGCAATGTAGTGTCGAAATTTCAGAGGCAAAACTCGTAGCATTATAAATGTTGGGAATTGTAGTATATCTAGCCGTGTATTATGTTTGATATTTTGTTCAAAGGCAAAACTCGTAGTATATATTAATATTGGGAATTGTATTTCTATCCATGTATAAGGTCTGTTCTAAACGTCGCATTTTAGGCCCGTTTTATACATCGAATTTCGGTGGCGTCGAATGCAATTGAAACAACAGATAATGAAACTTAATGAGGTTTATCATCTCATTATCTATTGTCTTAATTGCATTCGACACGATCAAAATTCGACGTATAAAACGGGCCTTATATGTGCCGAATGCATTCA